GTTGGCCACGCGGCTGCTGCTGCGGTTGCGGCGCCTGCTGGGCCCCCACGCGCGGGCCGACCTGGCCTTCGTGCTGCGCGCGCGGCGCTGCGCCGGGCGGCTGCTGCGCGGCGACGGCCGCGGCGTGGCGCAGCGCTTCGGCCCCCTGGCCCGCGCCCGCGCCGAGCGCGTCTTCGTGCGCTACGAGGGGCGCAGCTTCACCTACGGCCGCGCCGAGCGCGAGAGCAACCGCGTGGCCAACGCGCTGCTGCGGCTGCCGCCCGGCGCGCCCCCGCCGCGGCCCGGCCAGGCGGTGGCGCTCCTGGTGGGCAACGAGCCCGCCTTCATCTGGGCTTGGATCGGGCTCGCCAAGCTCGGCGCCGTGCCCGCGCTCCTGGGCACCGCGCTCCGCCGCGGGGCGCTGCTCCACTGCCTGCGCTCCTGCGCGGCCAGGGCGATCCTGGTGGCCGACGGTGAGTTCCCGGCCCGGGCGGGGCAGCGGGCCGGTGGGAGAACGGGGCGCGCGGGGCTGGCCTCCGGAGCATCCTCGGAGTGGCGTTGCCACCTTGGTCAGTGGCTTTCCTGGCGCAGCGTCTGTGGTCCGAGGCGTCCACCTCCGCCAGACTGGAAGCCTCCACGGACCTTTCCTGGAAGCGAGCTTGTTAGTTTTTGGGTTGTTTGAATGGCTTCTTCCTAGCTCTGTCAAGAAAAAGCACTTGCGGTGACGGTCTTTTGCTCACTTTGGAGGCAGTATCCTTGCCTCCGTACTGCAAGGATGCAAGCCCAGAACAGAAACCGAGTCTTTCGAAGGGGCCTCCTGTCCCAACTTCTCTCCCCTACCAATGCAGGAAATCCTGTTACAGCAGCCTTGACAGGTGGCCATCTCCTAGCTGCCCCCTTTGCCAGAGGTAGAAATTACCTCAGAAAGGTAATGGCACCAGAAATTACTGGGTGCTAGTCTCACCTGTAGGAGAGTTATGTACCCATGTGGCAGAATTTGATTGGAAGGAGCTAGGTCCAGAGTAGCATCCCGTGCAGAGCAGAGATGGGTAGCTTGCTTAGAGAGTGGGCATTTATCCTTCTTTTCTGGGAGAGCTAGTATATTTGAATCAGGCAGTGATGTGGCAGGTTGCCTTGCCTTTCCTCTGTGAAAGACTGACTGGAAGGAAGGGTGCCCAGAACAGTATTTCATGCAGGGATGTGACAGACAGACTTGCCTGGAGATGAATAATTCTGTGGTGTCTCTGCCTTGGGAGCAACAAAAATGCATCAGGATGACTTGCCCCGGCAGAGGGTGATGTCAAGCGGGCAAATCCAGAGCAGGTACTCATGCAGAGATGCAGCTGGAAGCCTGGGACTGTGGATGATTCTTCAATGAGAGCGGTAAGGCATTCTAATCATACATGAATGGAATAACCTGCTGCTGGGATGACATGCCCAGAGCAGCAACTTACATTGGGATACTGCAGGCTGCCCTTTGAGGAAGCAGGTGGATTCTGCTGTGTCTCTGGACTCAATTACCCAGTGGCATCGCTTGCCGAATTGTCTGTTCCAGGGCCCCAGGTATATTAATTCTGTCATAGCACAAACTGTGCGGATTTGTAAAGACCAAGGAAATTTATTAATTCCTGCTGGGTGTTGTTAGATGCCAGGAAGCGATGCATTTGTGTGTTGTGTAGACGTGGCCATCGGCCTCATCTTTGGGTCGGGGTTTGAAGTCACAGGAGCCTTTGTCGCTGAGTTCAGAGGGTCCCTTCCTTGCTCTTTCTCTTGCAGCCCAGGAGGGTTCTGTGGTACACGAAATATGCAAATCGAAGAACATGTTACAGGGAGAAGTCGTTGTGTTGGATGGGGGTTGCAATCTTAATCCGGCTTGCTTATTTGCGGGGAGCACCACTGAAGTAACTCGATAGCGTCTGCACAGACGCCACACAATTAGATTTTAACAAGTGGGGACTGCAACAAAATGTTGCAGGGTATCCTCGTTTTCCTAACCGGAGTGCTTCCCTTTCGGCATTCCAGCTAGCCATTCCCATGAAAGAGAGCACTGACGCTTCCTGTTTGTTTTCCCACTTTTCTTTGCCAAACAATGCTCTGAGGACATTCACATGCTGGGGGTGTTCTTTTGTGGTGTGGAGTTCGGGGCCTTGCATAGCAAATTCTTTTGCTTTTTCTTCGATAATTCTGCAATCGGGGCACATTGTGCCCGTCTGCAAGGGAAAAATTCCCGCGTGCGCTGCCTCTTGATTCTTCTGACGGTGTTGGGATGTGGTTAGGCAGAGTGGGCTTTTTGGCCTTTTCGGGCTCTGCTGTTCTGTCTCTTGGGCAGCAGATTCCTTGACCGATGTGTTTGCTGATGCCTCTTCGCACGATGCATAACCCTGGAGTCCATAACCTATTGTCCTTTCTCCCTCTCCTCTTTCTTTGGTATCGTCATTCTCAAAAGTGTCAGAATGGCCTTCGGGGCGATTTTTTAAAAAATATATTAAAACATTTTTATGCCACCCCATTCGTCGAAGCCTCGGGGCGGCTTACAACGATCCAGAATGTTCCCACAAAACTCCATCTGCTGGCCCTTGATGCCTCAGCCTTCCCCACTACCTCCTTGTCAGGATTCGATCCCACGCCTCCTTCGGGCACCTTTGCCAGGGTGATAGGCACAACCCTTGCCCCTGTAGCTAGACTGTGGGAAAGGATCTTCCCTCTGTGCGGGGTGGAGCTGCACAAAAGCTGAAACCTTCCATTGTTGGCCTTGAGGCCAAAGGGGTGAGGCCGTGGGAAGGGAACCGGAGAACCAGACTGGGACCCCGCTGGAGCAACTCTGGCCCGTGGGCGTGCAGCTCAGTCCCTTGGTCCAGACAGACGAGATCGTTTGCTCCTGATCCATCCAGATTCCTTTTACAGTCTGGGCTGGAATTTCCACGCCGGGAGAGGAATGGGTCCATTCACAATCACCACTTCTGCAGGGTGCAATCCAGCCACGTCAGTTCGCCACTCGCCATGTGTTCCCATGTTGCTCCTGAACCTCCACCGCTTTTGGGACCCAAACGAACCACCCAAAGTGTGACTTGGCTCTGAAAGGGACACCTTGAGGACAAAGACAACCCCCCCCCCCCCCCGCTGACCTCAAAACTTGTCCCTACAAACTTTACTTCTGCAGCCTCATGGACTCTCGATAGTTTCCCAACCTGCCTGCTCCTACTTAACATGACAGCTTTTCCTCTCTAATTAATACCCACAACCTGAAGCCAGGCCCCTGAATCCCAACTAGCCGGACAGTGCCGTGGTAATTAACGCATCTCGGGTGTCTGATGCGCTGGCTGAATTGGTAGGCGACTTGACAACGGAGATCAAACTGGGTCACAACCGTCGGGCCAGCCGCTGAGATACCCGCCAGCAGATCTTTCCCATGCGTGACTAATGGCCCCTACTTGCCGCTATGCATGACCAGTAGAAACGCTTAGAGCAGAAGCTGGCCTTGGTGATGTCCGTGTGAGTTGTCCTTTCTCACGGCTAGCTCATGGAGGAACGCAGCATCACTCGTGAACATAAAACCCTTCGGGTGCAAGCGTTTGCGTGTTGCGTCAGAAAAGGTGTCTTGTAACTCCGTGCCTCTGGCTGAAGGGATGCTGGACTGCTTTTTCCTGTTGGAACATGTGGAGAGATGCATTCTTATGCACCTGAAAAACATCATCCATTCAGCATTATTACAGAGGAAAATGGGTAAGAGTATAGAAGGACAAGCCCTGCTGGGAAATGAATCAACATGGCTTTTCAAAAGGTAAAGCCCATCTCACTGATCTTTTAGAGTGCTTTGAGAAGGTCAATAAAGTTATGGACAGGACCAGTCAGTAGACATGGTTTACAGTAGACATGGAGCCGGCTGGTGCCGGAGGTCAGACTAGATGGCCCGGGAGGTCCCTTCTGACTCGCTCTGTTTCTATGTTTCTGTATGGACCTCCGAAAGGCTTTTGACAAAGTCCTTCACCAAAGATTCCTCACGTCATCACAGAAGAAGAAGGAAAGAAAATAGCTTTTTGCTGCTTGGATATTACTTTTTTCTTCTGCAGTTCGGCTTGGAATAGTGTTCTGCTCCCTGTCTTCCTGGAACATCTGGTTGGCCCCAATGAGAAGCGGAATGCTGAACTGCTTGCTTAAATTTCCAGCCCACCCCCTATCTTAGAGTCCCAGAGCAAGGTGCCTGCATGTTCGTGATGAGGTTTGCAGAATTATGTGGTAGTGAGGAGGAGACATTTTGGCAGCTTTCCCGTTTGGGGTTTTTTTTTTTTGGGTGGGAGGGCTTTGGAAGCCACCTGCTGGCACACCTCAAGTGGGTTCAGAGGACACCGCAACTCACACACCACGGAGATACTTGGGCAGGGAGAATAACACCGAGCAGCAAAAACTTAAACTGCACACCAGCAGCGAAAAGGTCCAGAGATCTAAAAGTGCTCAAACCTGCTCTCGGCTAACCCCTTTCTCTGTGTGTTTCTCTCTCTGCTCTGCAGACCTTTTTGAAGCTGTCGAGCCCATCCTCCCCAGCCTGGAAGAACTAGGCATTGCAGTGTGGATGATGGGTGCGGGGCCCTACCCACCTGGCGTCATCAGCCTTCAGGCTCTGTTGGAGGAAGCCTCTGAGGAGCCAGTTCCCTCTCACCTTTCCACCCCTCGCACATTGTCCGATACCTGCCTCTACATCTTCACCTCTGGCACCACAGGTAGGGTCCTAGCAAGACCTGGCCAACTGACGGTGCAGGATTTTGCTGTGTTTTGCTACGCACGTGTGTGTGTGTGTGTGTGTGTGTGTGTGAGTGTGAGTGTGCAGAGGGAGTATCAAGGGTTTGACTCCTCCTCTCACCCTTTGTAAGCAGTGGAAACCCATGCTGCAAAACCCGGCTAGCTTTCTAACTGCGAGGAGATAGGGGTCTCCCCACTGCCAGGAAAAAACATCCTGTCAAGCCAACCTCAGTTATACATGCTCACCTCCTTCCTGACCGCGTAATATTTCAGTGCAATATTTAAAACAGTATTTTTAAAAGCAACTAATTCAGGCATCTCTCCGACAAAGCACAGCTGGGAAATTTTCGGTTGGTTTTTTTTTTTTTTTAAACATCCAGTTCTGAAGGTGTGCATTGTCAATGCTGCAAAAAAAGGGGGGGGGAATAATGGTGATTGATTGATTGAATTTTTATTCTTTATTTTTATTGATTGAATTGTGATTGATGATTGAATTGTGTCTCTCCCCACCACCACTTGCCCCGTATCTGCTTCTGATTCCAGGACTCCCCAAAGCAGCTCGCATAAGCCACTTGAAAGCCATTCTGTGCTTGGGATTTTACAACCTGGTGGGGGCACGCAGCTCCGACGTGATCTACTTGGCTCTCCCCCTGTACCACATGTCCGGGTGTCTCTTGGGGATCCTTGGCACTTTCGGCATCGGTAGGTTCAGGGGCTTGGTGGGCTGGGGGCAAGAGACTCTGGAGCTTCTTGGAGGCCGTCTGTGCCTTGGTGTGTGTGTGCATCCAGAGCCAGGAAAGGTGGGCATGAAATTAAGAAAGATGCTGCCAGGCTTTCTTTTGCAGCCTTTCATTTATTCTCTGTGGTGCCAGGCTTTCTTTTGCAGCCTTTCATTTATTCTCCGTGGTGCTTGCATGGGGTCCAAATCTACGTTTCTGTGCCAGAACAAATTCTGGGACCCTAGAATTGGTTATGCAAACTGGTACAGCCGTGTGCCTTCTGCCTAGCTCTGTTCTTCTCGCCACCATTTTAGATCTTTAGGACAGGGGAGTGGAACCCCTTCTAGCCAGAGGGATGAATTTCATTCAGAGAAGTGTTTGCAGGGGCGGGGGGGGGGGGACACATTCCAGTGGTGGGTGGGTCCAAAAGCATTTTGGTATGTTAGCTTAGGGCTCTTCTGCTGCTAGTAAATAGCCCCCTTTGGAGACACATCTCAGTCTTTCAGAAGCGAGAGAGTATAAAGGCTGGAAAACAACCAGACATTGGCAGGGGAAAAGGTGGGCCTGGATAAGGGGGAGACTGACATTCATGGAATCACAACGGCCAAATTATGGCCCCTACTGGCCACATCCGGCTTATAGACCTGAAGTTCAATACCTCTCTATGAGTTGAGGACGCTGAGTCTTCAAAGTGTTGTTGGACCAGCTAGCAAGCTGGAAACTCGTAAAAGAGTAAACGACAGCAACCAAAACACCTCCTCCAGGTGCTGTGTTTGGTTTGGGGAACTAAATGGCATGCGGTTGTGGCTGCCTGGGGAGCACACCTGCTTGCTGTTCTTGCACTGCACGTGTATTGGACGCCACCCCAGAGGGCTGAAGGAAGTGGTGGATGTGGTTTGGCTGCACCGGGCTCTGGAGACAGGCCAGTGTCAAGAATTCCCCTCTCTTGGCAGGTGCCACTTGCGTGCTGAAGAAGAAATTCTCCGCCAGCCAGTTCTGGCCGGACTGCCGGCGCCATGGGGTGACCATCTTCCAGTACATCGGGGAATTGTGTCGGTACCTTGTCAACCAGTCCCCGGTTGGTACCAGGAAAGGGGAGGGCCGCTGGGGGTCCCCTCTAGGAAGAGGACGGAGTAGCTTGGGAGCGGATCGCTCTGATGCCGCTGGGCATCTCAGGGTGTAAGCTCCGTTGTTTTCCCAAAGGGAAGCTGTCATCAGCACCGGCTGGGCGAAAACAGGCAGGCACCGATCCGGGATGCGCTGGGGCCCCGCTGCCGATTTCCCCCTGCTTCGGCTCCCGTCGGGGCTGGGGTCCAGCTGGGCCGTGGCCAGTTCTTCCCGGCACATCTCTTGCAGCCCCAGTCACAGAAGCAGAACCTGCCGGGCTTGAGCCGGGCTGTTCTGCCGGGGTCCCCTGTGGGAAACTGTGCAGGCAGGGCTCCTCCTGCTGGCATTCCCCGTTTTCCACCTTTGCCATCTGACAGCTTCGTCCTCCAAGAATTTGTCAAGCCTACTTTCAAAGCCGTCCAAGGTGGGGGCTGCCGTGGCCTTTTCTGAAGGGTGGGGGGACCTTGCTGCCTCGCAGCTCGCTCCTGCTCCTGGGCCCTGCGCAGGGCGGTTACAGCCGTGTTCCTGGCTGAGCTTCTTCCCCACCACTTTCCCCCTGTCCTTGGAGCCCAGCAAGTCCAGCTGCGCATCCTCTCTGGTGCCCTCGCTGGACACGCGGGAGCTTTGGATGCCACCCCCAGGGAAGCGCTTGGCTTGCTGACCGTCAGGTCTCTGTCGCCATCTTAATATCTCATGGCTGCCCTGAGGAGCAGGCGGGTGAGGCGGGATTGCCTCCGCGGCATGTGGGGGTTAATCTAGAACCTGAGATAAACCTAGAACAAATTGGGTTGCATGTGTTTAAAAGCAATTCGGGTTAGTGTGTTTCTCTGTTGCTGTACAGCTGCGAGTGTTTCACAAAACCCCCAAAATGCACATTGAAGTGTCTTGTCAGACCTTTGCGATGTTAAGGCCGGATTAACTGCAGAGTCAACAGCAACATCTGCATAGGAATGCCTCGGCAAGTCTAGATAGTCTATAAGTACATGTAAATAAATAAAATAAATGTCTAAAGCCAAAACAACCCAAAATGTTTAGGCTAGTGGTGAGTGTTGGAGTGGCGACCCAGGAGATGCCGGTTCTAATCCACATTCAGCCAAGAAGCTCACTGGGTGAATTCAGGCCAGTCTCTGACTCTTGGCCTGGCCTACCTCGCAGGGTTGATGTACAGATAAAATGAAGAGCAGGGAGAGGACATCTGTGCTGCCTTGGGATCCCTGTAAGAAAGGTGGGATATAAATAAACATCAAATAAATGAAAGACAACAGCATGTTTGCCAAGAAAACCGCAGGATCGGACCTGTTTTCAGCCTCTGGCAGGCCCGTCTCTTGGCTCGGCTCTCAGCCCTGTCCTCCGACTTTTCCTCTTCCAGAGCCCAGAGGACCGGGAACACAGCTTGCTCATGGCCGTGGGCAGCGGGCTGCGGCCAGACGTCTGGCGCGAGTTCCTGCGCCGCTTTGGGGACGTGCGAATCGTGGAGACCTACGGCATGACGGAAGGCAACATCAGCTTCTTCAACTACACCGGCACTGTGGGCGCCGTGGGGCGCGCCTCTTGGCTGTACAAGGTGAGGGCCCCGGAACCGCAGGGTAAGTTTGGAGGATGACCGGGGCGGCCTGGCCTTCCATGCTGCATCCGAATTCAGGAGCTGGCCACGAGGGATCTGGCCTTCGGGGAGGCAGCGGGCAGAAGGAAAGGTGCAAAACTCTGCCCTGAAGCGTGTGGAAGAACAGGCTGCAACTCAGTAGAATCAATCTTTAACCCTGACACTCGGGCTTCATTTCCCCAAAACGCCATTTAATGGTGTGTTATTTTATCACACTCCGCCGCCAGAAAAAGGTGCCCAGAACAGCTGCGGAATAAGCTGTTAAAGGAGGCAGGCTTTTGGTGTTAAAGACACGGCACACAAGAAAATAGGGCGGGCAAGGATGAGGAAACAGCTAAGAGAGTCTTTCAGCAAACTTGGTGGGACGCCCTTCCCTTCCCGTGCAGCTCAACTGAATGCTTATTTGGTGTTTTCCGCAGCTCTTCAGTCCTTTCGAGCTGATTCGGTACGATCCACTCCAAGGGGCTCCGCTGAGGGACGGGTCTGGCCGGTGCCAGCGCGTGGGGCCAGGTGAGCAAGACAGGTGCCTTGGGCGGTGATTGGGTGTTCTTTGAGGTCTGGTAAATCTGCCACGGTAGAATCCAGTTTGCTGAGGCGTGTTCCGCAAGCAATCGTAGCGACTTCAGTAGATGGCCCATGTAACCTGAGGGTGAAAATTTGTACTGAGGTTCTGCTCTGTTAGATTTGTCCTTCAACACGCTCATGTACATCTTCAAGAGGGTTCGTATTTTACCTCTGACCAAGGCTGCCTCCATCGGTATTTTTCTTGGCAAGGTTTCAGTGATGCTGTATAAATTATCTTTATGGTGTGGCACTTGTAGTCTAGTTTTTATTTTGCTTTGGACATTCTGAATCTCTGTCCCTCCTGTCCTGTCCCATCCCCACCCTCCACCTGGCTCGGGTTTTGCAAATCTGTGAGTCCTTGTCTTTTCCACAGGGGAGCCAGGGCTTCTCATCGCGCCGGTGACACCAAAGATGCCTTTCTTAGGATACGCTGGAGGACCTGAGCTGTCAGAGTCCAAACTCCTGCGTGGCGTCTTCACTGAAGGGGACACCTATTTCAACACGGGCGATTTGATGATGCAGGACAGCCAAGGTTTCGTCAGTTTCTGGGATCGCATTGGCGACACCTTCCGGTACGTTTCCATCTCCACTATGTACGGTTGGAGCCCCCTGATGCTCGAAGTCGGGCCGTGCAACTTGTTTTGGTTCATTAGCAAAGAACATAGGTCTCTGCCCACAGTGAGCTTACAGTCTTAAAACTGGCAGATGACCCAGAAAGAAGCAGCTATGGGAAAGATGTGCAGGGCCCTTTCTGGGCCCTTCAGGCTGGTTGAGGGAGGAGCTAGAGCATGGCCTTCAGGATGATGGAGTTTGGGGTTTTGGATTGACCTGGGAAAGGCCCCAGAAGCCTTGTAACATGACTCGCCCCCATCTGGTTGGAATGCTAGATGTTCTTTCTTTCTGCCGCCAGCTTGCTCCCGGTGCCCTCTTTGCCTCAGTTTCCCCCCCTCTGCTTTGGTAGTCTTGATTCCATCCTTTCTTCTTTCTTTCCCACCCTGGTCTGCTTTGCTGCCTTCTGGTTTCTATTCCAAACTGGCAATTGTCCAGCCCTCGGTTTCCACCCCAAACTTCCAGTCCGTGAACTTAAAATGTCTCTGGAAAACAGTTGCAGCTCCCTTGGAATCAAAGTGCTGCCCTCGTGTGGCCAGACTTCGAAAAAACAGCTTTTATTCACAAAAATATAAATATGTCCACAAGGGGGCACACTTCACCAAAGAAAGGCTTCTCCGAGACTGGTTTTTTTTTTTTTTTACGGGATATGCAAGAATTTCATTGATTGAACATTTGCAGTCCCACATGATAACAGGGTGGGTGTGGGTGGGTGGGTGTGTGTGTGTGTGTGTGTGTGTATATATTTTAAAGTGGTTGCACATTCCTGAGGTTCCAGTTGGGTTTGGAAAAAAAAAAAGCGTTTTTTTGAAGAATGTGCCCCAAAATATTGCAGGAATTTGTTTAGTGCTAATGTTGTCCATCTTATTTATAAATGCTCTGGAATTAGGAGTGAACAGTGAAGTGCCCGAGTTTGCTGATGACAGCACACTGTTTAGAGTGATTAAAAGAGTTTAATTGTGGTGTCATTTTGGTTGGAGTTTAGATGGAAAATTAATTTTAAAAAATTAAAATTCAAAAGGGGAGCGTCAAAGGGATCTCTCCAAGCTGGGAGAACGGCCATCAAAATGGAAAGTGCAATTCAGTGTAAGCAACTGGAAGGCAGCGCACATGGAAGCAAAACCGGAGCTTCTAATTTTTATTTATTTATTTATTAAAACAGTTTTATGCCGCCCCATTCGCCGAAGCCTCGGGGTGGCTTATAACAATAAATAATTATAATCATAAATTAAAAATGTAAACATTAGAATAAAATACAACCATACAATATAAAATAAGCCGCCCCTAATATAAGTTGATGGAATTTGAGGTACTGGTAAGTGACCAAGAAAGAGATCTTGGGCTTATGGTAGACAGGTTAATGGAAGTGTCAAACTCAACTGCTGTGAAAAAGACAAAGTCTGTGTTAGGCATAATTAAAAAAGAAATTTAAATAAACCTACTAAGCTAATAATTCCAAATTTACAGTATGGCTGCACTTGGGATAATTTGTACAGTCGCTGCACCTAAAATGGATGTTACAGAGGTGGAAAAAGGGCAGGAAAGGTTACAATATCCAGGACTGCTTAGCTTAGAAAAAGACGAATAAGGGGAAGCATCGTAAAGGTGTGTGCATTGGGCAGATTTGTGGAGAAGGCTCTCCATCCAGGATGCGAGGCGTGTGCCTATGTGCACCAGTTGCTGGGGAACATGGAACACAGGGTGCTGCGGCACTCCCTCCCTGCTTGTGGGAACCTGTGGGCAACTGGCTGGCCACCATGTGAACAGGAACCGCGGCTCGACCGACCGTCGTCCGATCCAGCCAGGCTCTTCTGACGCTCTCTCTCTTCTCTGCGGTGGCGCCCCGATAGTGGAACACGCTCCCCAGAGAGGTCTGCCTGGCGCCAACGCTTCTTTCCTTTCAGTGTCAGATGAAACCTTTTTTTTTTAATAAGTTTTATTCTAAATAAACCTAATACAAAGAAAAACAAAAAACAACATCAGTCATCGGAAACCTCAGACCTACTGGGTCAGTCCCCCACATTTTTTTCTTTTTATGCTAAACTTATGAACATATTTAAATCTATGTGAAGCCCCGTTTCTCTAGCCAGTAATAAAGAGTCCCAAGTTTGATAGAAGTCAGTATCTTCTTTCTCTTTCAGTGACAAAGTCAATCTGTCCATTTCTGCACAGTCCAGAATCTTTTTTAAAATCAGTTCGTCAGTGGGTGATTCTTCACTCTTCCTGTGTTGGGCAAATGCAATCCTTGCCGTAGTAATTACATGTAAAGCCAAGTACATTTCTTGTTTACTAATAGCATCAGGTATAATGCCTCATAAAGGCGAAACCCTTTTATTCTCCCACTATTTTAATTGTTCCCCCGTTTTATTTAGTGGTTTTATATTTTCACATCAGATGCCGAGCAACTGCTGCTCTTATTTCTGTTTTTATTTTTTTGTGTTAGTCTGTCGTCAACCGTCCCAAGACGTCTGTGATGGGACGGTTAAATGAATAAGTTCCCATGCTTTGTGAGTGCTGGGGGGGAACCCGCGCGCCTTCAGAAAACGCGCACCAAACCGCACCGAAAGAGGAACCTGTGGCCGCCCCACTTACCACATTTCCAACCTCTCCCACCAGGTGGAAGGGCGAGAACGTCGCCACGATGGAAGTGAGCGAGGTCCTGGGCAGCCTGGAGGGGCTCCAGGATGTCACCGTCTACGGCGTCACGGTGCCAGGTACGCCGCGGTGCGATGGGGGGACGAAGGCTGGCTGGCGGGGAGATGAGCGAGGACCCGCGCGTCTCGGCCTGAGCTCCAGTGATCCCCTGAGAGCTCAAGCCCATCCAGGGGGGCTTCATCTTCTCTTTGCCCTCCCCACCCTCTCCTAGGGCACGAGGGCCGGGCGGGCATGGCCACCATGGTGCTGCAGCCGGGATGGGAGTTCGACGGAGCGCAGGTCTACACGCACGTGGCAGAGCTCCTGCCGCCATATTCCCGGCCACGCTTCCTGCGCATTCAGGTACCGTGTTTCCTCCCAGGAAAACGGAGTGGGGGGGGGGGCCCTCCGAGGTCCCCTGCTGAGAGAGTCTTCTTCACACTGGTCAGCCCAGAAGAGCCGCAGGGCTGCCTTCTTCCTGCATCCCCACACCACCCCGCTGCGGCCCTTGGCCTGTATCACAGAGCGTTGCCCACTCGGTGTGGCAGCGGCCTCCCGTAATGCCTCCTATCACTTCCCCACCAGGACCGCCTGGAGCTGACGGAGACCTTCAAACAGAAGAAGGTGCGCCTGGCAGCTGAAGGTTTCGACCCCACACAGATAACGGACCCTCTCTTCTTCTTGGATGCTGCCGCCGAGACCTACGTGCCTCTGACCCACCACATCTGGGAAGGGATAGCCGCCGGCGACATCCGGCTATAGCGCCCGCGTGCCTTTGTCACTAGCGCCTGGCTCCCAGCAGGCCCTGCTCTGGGTTGCCGTGAGTGGTGCTTGCTGGGAGAGCCCGGTGTCTGTGTGTCCGCCTCGAAGGCTGGCGCGATCCGCTTTTCCCAGCACGCTTTCCGTCCCCTCCCTCCGAAGGCGGGCTCTGGCTAGATGTTGTGTCTGGTCTTTCCCGTGGGGCCCACTTTCCTGGGGCCATGCCCTCCTCCGCAGCAGTGTGGGTCAGACTTTGTGGTCTGTGCAGATCGACAAATGCTCTGAGCGTCGCTCAATGGATTCTGTGTAGGAACTGCTGAAATTTGGCTGAGTGCAGGACCCAGCTGTGGGCCACATCTGGCCTTCCTCGGCTTCCCCGGCCAGGTCCCTTCCTCCCAGCCAGGATTAGGTGGCTTCCCATCCACTCCCCCCATTCTGAAAGCTTGAACTGCCTTCCCTGTGGGCAAAAATAGGCTGGTACTTTTAATCCCAGTCCTTAATCCCTTTACTGGTCCTTGCCCGGCCTCCAAGAGCGTCTCTGAAAGGAAATTGGGTTCTGCGGCCCTGGGACTCGCTGAAGGAATGAACACCCTCTTGGTGTTCTGACCATTGGCCATGCTGGCCGGGGCTGATGGGGCTTGAGGTCCAAAACGGCAGCGAGAGCAGCATAGCAGTTAAAATGGTGAGCGGTGAGCAAGGGAGCTTTCCCTCCTGCCTCCCAGCCGCCCACCCGTTATCTGCAGCATCGTTGCCCAAGGCCGGGGCTGATGGAGACCGTAGTCCTGGCACATCTGACGCACGCCAGGCTGGGCAAGGCTGGTGCTCAGAAGAGAGTTGCGACACTGTCCTACCTTGTAAGACTGGTTTTGGAAGCAGGAACGGAAGGGAAGGAGGTGCTGACCGGAACCGGGAGATGTGGGTGTGTCTCTTTTTGTACTCTTTGGTATCCAATAAAGTCCCCTTTTTTAGCCACCTGACTGTGGTCCTCATTGTGCCCAAAGCGGCAGCAAGGTTTTGGCTTACCTCCCCCTGCTCTGCCGCGAAGCAGCCAAGCCGTCCAGAATCCCCGGCCGACGGCAGGGGTGGCGGGAAACGGCTCGTGCCGGCGTGCCGCTTGGGTCCCTTCTTCCGCGGCGACCGGGCAGACTCCTCCAGGGACGCGAGGCGGGGGACGCTGAGGGCCCGTCCTGGCCTGGCTCTCCGCGGGAGGCTGAGTCAGGAATGCTGGAGCGGTTGGGCCTGGGGAAGCGTCCCGGGGCTGCAGGGGACCCTGGCCCAGAGGCCGTCCTCCGCAGGCCTCGTCCCTCGCCAGCGTGGTCGGCAGCCGCTTGTGTCCCTCGTCCTCCCGCTCCCGGCATCTGCCTCTCGGAGAAGAGGGGGAGCACAGACAGCAGCCTTCTCTTCCTCCGCCCTCCGTCCCCCTGGTCTGGGCAGGTGAGCAAGCAGGCCGCCACGAGGAAGAGGAGGAAGGGCAGGCCGAGGGGCCCCTCTGAGCCACACTGGAGAGGCGGTGTGGCGTCGTGGTGAAGAGCCTGGGACTGGGACGCAGGCGATCCGGGTTCGAGTCCCCGCTCGGCCATGGAGCCCGCTGGGTGGCTTTGGGCCAGTCACAGCCTCTCGGCTCAACCTACCTCGCAGGGTTGTTGCTGTGGGGATAAGATGGAGGAGGAGGAGATGTCAGCTGCCTTGAGCCCTTTGTAGGAAAAAGGCAGGATCTAAATCGGAAAATAAAATAAAATAAATAAATCAGCTCCGGCTGGGACAGGGCCTTTGGCGGGAGCCCGGCCTTGCATTCCCGCAGCAGCACCCCTGCCCTGCCCCATCACTGGTCGCTGCTGCTCGGAAGCCAGCCCTGGCAGGCGAGGGTCCCTTCCTGCCTCGGCTGAGCCGGCCCCTCTGACCCCCTCCTCCTTCCAGCCCTGGGGAGCCCAGGCGAGACGCGAAGGCAGCGGCCCTCCTCGGGACCAGTGTCAAGGGAGGGCGTGCTCAGGGCCCCCCACAACCCAGTCCTCTCTACCGGCCTCTCGCTCGGGTTCAGGCAGTGGGGCCGGCGGGAAGCGGGAAGCGAAGGTGCAGCTGGTGGCCATGGTGGGGGGGGGCACTGGGTCTCTGCTGGCTCCCTGAGTAGCCACGGCCCTTAATCACATGTGCCCCCTAGGACAGGGCGCACGCATCCAGCTCCTCTGCAGAGCACTGAGCGCCACTCGGCAGCCTGCTCTTTGTTTTCAGCCGTAACTGGGGGGAGGAGGAGCGGACGAAGATGCAGGGCGCATCCGTCCGAATTGCAGCCCTCCTCTCCAGGGACCCAGCCCGGTGCGTGTTCGGCCACCCGCCATCCCAGGGTGACCCTGCCACTTCGGGCGTCTGCGGCAGGCCGGGAAGCATGCGGCTGCTTCTGCCTGAATATGCACAGGATTCCTCCCATGGAGATGCAAGAAACTCTGCCTTTTTAAACCTTTCCACCTCTCCCCAACCACAGGAAAAATGGGACTCCAAGTGTGTGGGGCAGGAGCAGGAGGTGTGGGAGGGCAGGCGCTGCGGGTTTGAGGGAGGGGGTCTTGGCAAGGCAAACCTGAGGGTTTCAACACTGATGGTTCCGGAGGGTTAGTTGCTTCCTCATTGCCCTTCAGTTTATTCTTGGGTCAAGGGGTGAATGCATTCCATCGATCCGCTTCCTGATCACCGTCGAGGCACCCAGTCGCTGTCTGCATTTCCCTTCTTTTTCTAAGCTGCTCCCAGTGCTGGGGACGGGGGTCATCTTTTTCTTCCATTCAGCCAAAGCTCTCCGGGCTGTTCACAGAAAACCTACATCACATGGCAAGATGCAGTGGAAATGCTTAAAAATTTCAACCAACCATATAGGATGTTTCTTTAGCAAGCCCTGTTGTCAGTCTGGCGCCCCGCATCTTGCGCAAGCGGAAGCGTCTCCCACCATCTTCTGAGCCATTTGGCGGGCATCGCCGCCTCGGGAACTGGCAGAGTAGGAAACCGAGCTTTTCCTCTCCAGACAGGGACAGTGGCTGGCCCCCCAGCCAAAGCTGGGCCACGCCACCCCACTGAGCCTCAAGGAGAGCCCCCAAGCGGCCCCCCTGCCCCTTCAGGCGAGTGGAGCGCCTTCCCGCCATCCGTAGATGCCCCTTGCAGCTTAGCTGCCCTTTGCTGCACCCACAGTGTGAAGGAGAGGCTCGGCTCGGCTCGGCTCTGCTGCAGAGCGCTGCCGGCGCTTTGGCTCGCACGGGGCTCTGCCGGCTGCTCGCACAGAGCCGGGCTGCTCCTGCCGTGTGCGAGCAGCGTCTGGTCTGCAATTCCCGTCAGCCCAACACCGCAGCCGGTGCTGAGGCGAGTTGGGGTCCTCCCAGACCTGGGCAGACCGCCAGTGACCCACGTCATGCCCCCTCCCGGCAGGCATGAGGTCGAGTTTATCGCGAGGCAAACCCAGGGCACTGACGTTTATCGCCAGCTAAAATCTGGGCCTTGCTTTCCCTCCCTCCCATTCCAGACTTTCCGCGTCTCAAAAGGTGTCCCGGGCTACCGATTTGCACCAAGCTTCTGCTTTCGGGGAATTCTGGGAGGGCTGCAGACCTTTCTGGAAGGGGGCACCCCATGCCCCCGTTTCTAGTGAGAAGCTTACAACAGACACCCTGTCAAAATCTGATTTTTGGGGTTTCGGGGGCTGTACCTGTAACCGAGGTTCAAACAGAGTCTCAAAATGCAGTTTTCCTGGAAGTTGGGGAAACGGCCGTGTCATTTCAGAAATCAACCTGCCTAAAGCTGTTCTGACTCACAGTAACCCACAGTGCTTAATTTTAAATTATGAATAAGAACAGGCAATTCTGGAGTATAAATTTGCATTAGATCCCCACCGCCCTTCTTGGAGTCTTGCCGCACCGTCCCAGAGGCAATAAAATGGCACTTTGCCCATTCTCAGGCCCTGTTCTGGCTCGACATTTTTCAGGACTGAGTCCTGACCTTGAGGAAGAACGCTGGGGGGCAGGCCTAATTTAAGTCCTTCCCCCCCACTCTGGGGGTCTGTGCTCCTCTCCATTTTAAACATAGCTCTTTTCATCTGGAACGATTTGGAGACGGGGCAAAGCTGCCAAATGCAAATTAAAATCTGCTGGGAGCTGCAGAGGTTTTGCTACAGTGAGGTCCTCACGCACGTAGGGTGTTGTGGAGTCACAAGTCCACACCCACACACTCACACTGCATTTCGAGGGCTTGCTTTGCCTGAGCAACTGTTTGGGGTGATGGGCGCCGTCTTCTCCCGCCGCATCTTTATTCATGAGCCCTAATCCTCCTGTGCGAGGTCTGAGGGAGGCGAAGGGCAACGCCAACCCCACTCACTCACCCAGGAAAGCTGATGCATACATCCCATAATTCAACTATATTTTTTGCAAGAGTTTGGCTTTGTTGCATGCACCTACGCCTGTGAATCTCGGATGAGTGAGGAAAGGGATGAGTGAGCTTTACTGAATCAAAGGGATCCCACTTTTATCCAACAGCCTTTTAAACTATTTGTCCTGCAACCTTTATAGGCGCTTGAATAGGGAGTGAAAAGAAGAAAATGGATCCCTTTTAAAGACAGCAAAGCCAGGCAATGATGCAGGCATGCGAGGCCCCGTCTAGATTTCAGCGAGGGGGGCATGGACCAAGATTCAAGCTGATCAGATGGATGGATAGATGATTCCCTTACAATTAAATTACCAAAACTGTATGCTCCAAGAGCATTTCTTACAGCTCCCTTAGGAAATACTTCCTAATTATAATACTGAGCCATCAAACAGCTTATTTTTTATTTTTCAGAGGGGTTTGTGAATGTTTTGTAGTGGTTAGAACTGCCTTCCTAGTCTGTTCCTTGACTCTATGGAACTGCAATGACCATCATGCACAGCTAGTATGACTACACTCGCTGGGGAATACTGGAAATCGTATTCTAACCCCACTGGGACCAGAGATCTAGGTTTTGCATTGCCTTTTGTTCAGCCACGAAACTCTGTACGTACCTTTGGGCCAGTCGGTGTCCCCTGGCCCTGGACTACCTCACAGGACTGTTGTGAAGCAAGTAGGAAGGAGAAACCAAGCTTCTTGGAGGAAGGGTGTCATTCTGCAAATGAAAACAACAGAAAGTGTTACTCTCACGGTTTGGCGCGGCTGGCTTAGCAGCCTGGTTTTCCAGTGATCCCGAAATATGGGTATTCCAGGGAATTCATGATCCTGAAAAACGGATGAAGGGAGAAAGAAGCATCGCCCCCAAATCACCCCCCCAGCAAAGTGCAGCGTTGGGGTGCAGGCAGAAAAATACGGCTCTTTTTTTTGGCCTTCTCTTGGCAATTGTCCCCTTTCCAGACTCCCCTCCCTCTTTCCCTCACCTCTGCCATAAAAAGGGGCCATGGCTCCTCGCCCCATTGTGAGCAAACAATAGGGCCAGCAGCGTGTGTGAAAGTGACACCATGAATGAGGCTGGGAGGGCGGCAGGGAAGGGGTAGGCCCGTCGCCCGGGGTAACCGCAGGGGCTCTAAGTGCAGCTAATAGGATAAGAGGGGTTGAAAGGGAGAGCCGAGCCGGGACGGGTCCCGTGTGGGGGTGGCGTGGCTGCCTCGCGGGCGACAGGAGCACTCGGGGGTCCCGCATTCCCGGCCTTTGTCCGCCCAGCCAGGCCCAGAGCTGTGCACGAGGGGGCGGAAGGTTCCGGCACAGAGAGCTGGGGGGCCATGGGCCTGCTGCAGAGTGTGGAAAGCGCCCATGCACCGGGTCCTTCAGGACCTGGGACAGCGCCCAGGGCGGGTGGCACGCTTGTCCTCACACTGCAGGGCCCCCTCCAGCGAGCACCCCGGCAGCGCGTGCCCTCTGGGGCGTGTGGAGGCTGAGGCCAGCGCTCCTTGGTGTTTGCATTTGCAGACCGTACGGCATCCGGCTTGAGCCGGCGTCACCGGCTCCTGGTTTGCTTCCAGGCCTGAATCCAGGCGCAAGTCCTTAGCTAGAAAGGCCCGTGCAACTTGCTTGTGGCCAGAGCATCAGGAAACCTACCACTCCCATGCCGGCCTGTCAGAAGTTGATGCTCTTCAGGGCTCAAGAGCGGCCAGGTGGCTTCAGGCGAGGGACGGGGCAGCTTTGGTGGTGGCACCCCAGCCGTGGAGCATGCTAAGGAAGTCAGATGGGAAGCCTAGGTTTTGGTAGGCCATAAAGACGGGCTTTTGGCAGGTTTGAAATGGTAGCACACCCCCTCTGGACTTTTAAAGAGGGGTTCTGATGTGATCGTTTTGCTCTCAGATGGCCTTTAAAGTTGTCCATTGTAAATGGACGGATATCAAGTTGTACCCTGCCAGTAAGACGTTTCACATCTCTTCACCTCAAATGCTTTTTTGGTGTAATTTCTGTGCTGTGAAAGGGATTCTTCTCTGAATTTCAGATTCTCTTTCTTTCAGAGCAAAAATTATAGTCCTCATGAAAATGTTGTGAAAATTTGAAAATATAACCTATGTTATTGCTTTCTTTTTGTTTTTGTTTTTTGGGGGGAGGGTTCCTTCTGTAACACAGAAGCGGTTACACTATCAATAATAACTTAATTTCTATACTGCTTCTTGCCAAAGCTCTCCATCAGGACTTGTAACAAGAAAATCTGTACCACACAAGCTTAATTTGTAACCGGCTCAGATAAAACAAATCAACAAACAATCCAGTGATAGGCAAACATTTAAGACCACTTTGTATCCCAAATAGCTTTTAGGGCCTTTACATGCCAGTTCCTTAGATCAGCTAAAGACTCACAACTAACCAAACTTTTCTGGCATAATCCATTACAGTTTTCGGATGGGCGTACTGCATGTTCTAGGAAGTTAGCAGTAGTGCTATCCAAAAACTGCTTTATTTAAGGCATCTTGCACAGGATGCAAGCTGACTGAGCACCATGCTTGGGTAGTCAAGTTTCTAGTCCTCATGGAAATGGCAGAAAAACCTTGCAAGTGAGTGCAATATCTGCAAGCATTGGGAGATAATTTCCCCAGACAATAAACTTTGTTTCTCCTTGGCTTTAGGATGAGGTTCACAATGACGAGGACGAAAATTTCACTGTCAAGACCATCAGGAAGGGCACTGGGGCCATCCTCTTGTTGGCCTGGTGAGATTTCCTCGAGATGCCGGTCAGATTTGCAAGCCAGGAGCTCTCTCCTCCAATATGAAGTCCCAGCGAAAGGGCCGTGTGGCGAGAGTCACCGGACACATCAATGCTTCCCCAGGGGGGTGGAGGTTGGGGAGGGGTGCGGGCAGAGCGAGCGAGCGGCCGGCCTCTCATCTTTATGCTGAGCTCTAATTGAGCCGCCTTCTCTCCAGCTGCCTTTCACACCCAGGCTCCCCCCACCTCCCTGCACCCCAGCCCAATTGTATCAGTGTCTCTGGCAGTCGAAGAGGGCAAACAATGAGCATCAGAAGCCATCCCATGGTCCCCGTCCGACAGAACCTGCATGCGAGGCCAGCGGCCAGCGATCCCAGGGCCAAGCGGAACTGAGGGGGGCGCGAAATTGGCAGGGAGCGTATAAACAGAAGGGGGGGGGCAGTCTTACAGCATAGTGCAAAAAGTTTAGGCCAAAGAAGAGCATATATATTTATCGGGGGCGGGGGGTGTCCTTGTGGAATCCGAAGAGCCCCCGTTTTGCCCCTGTGGAATTATCTGCGCACCGTCCCGCTTCTTAAACATCCAGCGGGAACTTTTTGGTGTGCAAGAGGGGCACTTGTCTGTGTTTTCGCTTTTGTTTTAAACACTGGGTGGATTTTGAATGCTTTTGTCCACCGGCCTGTTAAATCCGGAGGAATGTCACTGTGGAACTTCTGGCTGGTCCTAGGGCTTGTGCTGCAAGGTTGGGGTAAGTGATGTTTTCAAACAGACAAACGAGGCTTCTAATTTCTTCTTCCTGTACTGGGAGCAGTTGGTGTGTCTTCCTCTCTGTCTAGCATCTGTCCATCTGTGTGCGCCTTTCTGTCGATGTTTCTGATCGCTGTTTTGCCTTCATGGGAGGCGGGGGGTGCGATGAGACCTCTGCGAGATTTGGGAAGGGGCAGAGAGAAATCACGGACAGAGGGTGGAAGCTCTATCCACGGCAGAGATTTACGAGGATCCCCAGTTCTTCCAATTCCGCTTCCTTGCTCCGAACGTCCGATCTCAAAGCACTTTTGGGCTCAGTTCTTCCTCTGCACTGGGCAATGTCGAATCGCGAAAACTTGCACTCTCCGTCTGCGTGCTGCTGAAGTCAGGTGTGGGGTTGAAATGTCGGTTCCTGTGGCAGGCGGTTTGTGAAGTTGTAGCTAGGTGTGTTCCTTTTTGACTGGGGGAGATGGGCTATTTAATTGGAGTGGGATGGAGATGGGAGAGGGTTTAGAGTGAAAGGTGTAATACATTCCTCTTTTCTTCTCTTAATTTTTATTTTCAATTGGCAAACCAACTCAAAGCTAAGGGGGCTGCATGAGCTAAACCCACATACATGTTTTAGAAAGATACCATCCTAAGCATCCTTTTATAGGAATTGATTCCAAAGGACAAAATGAAATGACGACAAGTTGACAACCCAGTAAATGCAGGGATGTGTTTCTCGCTTCAAATAAAATTGTGAAATATAAGTAGTGGGGAGTCTTTGTGGAGGGGGTAGGGTTACCTTTGCTGCTGCCCCTCAGGTTGCCGATAAGCATCCAAGGATGACTTTCAGGTGATCCACAATCCTCGAAGAGAACAATTCCATGTCGAGTTTGGGGCTATAGGACTGTGAAAGCAGCAATGCATTGTGTTGTATTGTTTGCAGCCTGAATGTGGATGTTACGTGTGTGCAGCAGGCACACTTCTCTCACTGCGCCGAAAATGTTGCACTCCTGGTTCGGGTTGTGTGCGTTCTTTTCACCACAGTGGCTTAACTGTTCCAACAACGGGGGTATGAAGTTCTCATCTGCTGACTTGCTTAAACTCCAGGGTATTGCAGTCTAATGCATAAGCATCACGTTTCTGAGTCTGAACTGGATTCGGTATTTATATACTGGGAGAAACATGAGGTTGAAAGCAGATCTCTCAGGACTCCTGCGTTTATTATTCATAGATGAGAGGGCATCGAGAGGCAAAATTCCCTTTTATTTGCCTGATGGAGGAGAAAGTTTACAGATCTTGAACCTAGTATGTTTGCTTGTGTACCATGGTGCTTTTGTGCTTGTTTCTCTTAAGACAATCAAGACCACTCCGTTTGTGCTTCTCTCCAGGAAACAATCCAGGAAAAATGGATTTTTTTTTCTATTCTAAACCCTCGTGTGTTGGTTGTTTGCCCCCGTAACTCTTCCAGCCATCTTGAAATCGCAATGGATTTGAACGAGGATAGATCATTCATTTGGCATGGCTATAGTTTTCTTCCAAAAGGCTGTTTTCTTCTGCGTCCTATTGGCATTTAGGAATGAATTGCCCTTCAGATGAATTGGAACATAACTCGGCCTGCTACTGTGGATTGAGAGTGGCAAAATGTTATGAGAACTGTGCTTATAAATGGAAGCTGCCATACTTAAAAACACATACAATTAAACCATTAAACACAACAACTCAAATTGCCATGCCGGAATTCTGAAACTCCCTGTGTTTATGTGAAGCCTGAAGTCTGTTACCTGTGACTTTGTCCTACTAAAATTAAACCCTTTAATGCATAAAAGGATTAAATCCTTGCTTTCCAAAACAGAGGAAAATGTTGGGTGGAAAGCACAAGACAATTATCCGAAATAAGGCATTGTCATTATTTTTTCTGTGAGAGAAACACGACAACCTTTTGGAGTTGGCAAAAGAACCAGGACAGCCCTCTGAGTGGGATGGTGTGAACTGGTGTCCTGCAACAGCAGGGGGTGGACTGGATGGCCTTCAGGGCCCCTTCCAACTCTGCTATTCTATGATTCTATGATTTGATTCCTAGCCCAAGCCCTTGAGTAGCCAGATGCGGTAGTAAGATGAAAGTGTGGTTGACTTTATTTACTGCATCTCAGGTTGCAAAAAGCTATTGGAAGTTGGCACCCCCTGAAGTTTAGTGAAGTTAAATGAGTTGTCATGTTCCTTTGCCACAGCTAAACAGACTCGAGCAAGTTTGGTGTCTTAATATCCTTACAAGCTTGTTGCAGTTGGATCTTATGAATCTGATTTTAGAGGCTGATTTCTGCAACTGGAAAGAAGTGGCAAGACTTCAACAAAAATCTGGTTGGAAGCTAGAGATATCTTTCCTATAGAAGGTGTAGTCGGGTGTGGAAGTTCGGTACCTTCTTTTGCAGGAAGGTTTTTCAGGGCCTGTGTGCTGGAATCAAGAAGAGACGAAGATGCGTCTTAAAGATCTCGTGTGTGTTGGGCCGCCTGCCTGTTTCCCCCCCCTGTGAATGCTTATGGCAAAGAGAAATGATGAAAAGATGCAGCTTTGGAGGTAGAAGGAATTGAGTCAATTTGGCATGGGAGGGAAATGTCTAAGTTCTGTCAGATCAGAGAGGCAGAGATTGATTTCAAGGTCCTTGTGGGTTCAAATTCCAAAGCAAGCCTCTACCCAATCTTTTTTTAAAACCAAAAATACATCAGCTGCACCAGAATTTGATGCCAAACGAACACGTGGCTGATAGAACTATTCCAGGCTGGTGGTGGGTTTATAAATGGCTTCTTTTTAAGTTTTGGCAAATTACTGTTCTGAAAATCTAAAGAGTGTGTAAAGGGATATTGTGTATATGTGTATGAATTCTCCCTTTAAGAAGAAACTCTGTGTATGTTTAGAAGACTGGCTAGGAGATGCTGGGAACCATGCAGGTTTTTCCTTCCAAACATGCATGCAGTTGTGCCCTTAAGTAAACCAGTGAAATAAGTAAGAGGGTTTTGGCCCCTCTTAAAACCACCTGTTTCCAGCCCCCAAGCATGGCCCACGGCATGCAAGATGGAGTCCCCTGAGCGGCCTTGCGGGACCTTTCTCCCAGACTTTCTGAGTGGGGCCTCTGGGCGATTTTATGGGCCAGCACCATCAAGAAGAGAGTTCTTGTAGGACTCCGAAGGCTCTCTGCTTGAAGTTTTCTGTGGAATTGGTGTGGTACTTGGGAAGATGGATCAGTGAGACCTTCAGGTGGATTGGTTCATGTTTGGGTCCCTTGTTTCAGAGAAAGTTTTGGGGTATGCCCGAGGCCTGGATTGTTTTGCTTCTGTTTACGGCTGCTGGAAATACAATGGAATAAGGGGAGAATGCAAACTTTCTTTAGCCCAGGTTCTTTTCTGAACTTTTGATGCAAAGCTGTAGTTTGCTGTCCGCCATTTTGCTTTTGGGGGCAACCCCCATTTGTGTAAAAGGTAGTGGCTCTCTCACTGCACAAGCATCTTGTGCCTTTAGACACTAACAGAAGGGGAATTAAGAGAGGCTGGAGACTAAAAGAAGGATTGCTGCTTGCAGTATGTCCTTGCACCCCACTTTTGCCTCTGGTTAAATGGGAATAGTAGGCTTTTGAAGGAACACAAGAAGCCTACAGAACCTGTTTATCAGAGGAAAAAATGGAATGCACACACACACATACACCACGGGCCGCACCCGTTCCCCCAACAGTGCCTTCATCTCGTTCGTGTGTGCGTGCGTGTGTGTGTGTGTACACTTTCCAGCCCTGGTGTGGCAATATTGCTTCGATGAGGCTAGGAGGCTATTTACGCTGCCTCGGTCCCCATCTCTCATGGAGGCAGGAACGGAGGAATAGCGTAGCTTTTCCCTTTGATTCGCTAACGGGGTCCATGCTTAGTTCTCAGGGGGATCCAATTTATGCCCAGTCCGCATGTTCCTCAGGAGGACGAAGGCTTGTCACGGGCCAGACCCTCTTTGCAAACGGCCGGCCCCGATTCCAAGTCCAAAGACAAAGGGCAGCCGTGGAATGGGGGGACGGAGTCTGGGGGTTATCGTAACCTCTCTGGCCCAGCCCGGGGGCAGCGAGTGCGATGGGGCAGGCAGGAACCCATGATAGATGGGGAAAGCCATGGGAAACTCACCCCGAGAGCGTCACGTGGGCCGGGCAGATGGGCCATGGTGGAGGCCGTGGGCATTGTGCTGGGGACGGGACAATGCCGGCCGCCCAGCCCCTTCTGACCCGGGCATTGTTCGTCCGCCCGGCCCCCCCGCAAAGCCCCTCCGCAGCCCACGGCGGGCCCCGCTCGCCCGCCTGCAGTTGCTAGGGCCGGCCTCAATGGCGGCATCCATCAAGATGTCAGAGGCCGGCGGGGGAAGCCCCGTCCCGCACCCCCCCACCTCCTCACGGCGGAGGCCATTGTCACGCCCGAGTTTAACTCTGTGGCGGCGGCCCGTGGCTTCTCGGGGGGATTAAGGCATCTCCTCCCGCCCCCAAAGGGGCTTCCATCTGTTGGTCTTCTCTGGGGCAGAAGAGGCTGTACAGGGCCCCGCACGGCCGGGGAGCGAGGGAGGGACAGGACCGAGCCCGCCTGGGCCGGCTTGGGAAGCCCGGCTCCCCTCCCGCTGCTTCTCCTTAGCCCTGCTAAGCCGTTCTGGGCAGCGAAGGACATGCCAGGCTTACGGTGCCTTGCTGTGGTCCAGCCACGGCTGCTGCCATGGAGGGTGGCCTTTTATTCATGGATTTATTGAGTGTCTGTCCCATCCCGAAGCCAGAATGGCTCTCAGGGTGGGTTACAAAGTAGGGTCCAGGGGCTCGGGGGTCTAGGGGCTCAGGACGTCCGAGTTCTGGTTCCCCCTTGCCACTAGGTGCTCCTGGGCCAGTCACTGCCTCCCAGCCTAGCCTACCTCACAGGGTTGTTGGTGCAAGGCTAACATGGCGAGAAGAGGGGGACTGTGTTAGCCAGAGCAAACAAGGCGGGGTGTCAACACACCAGCAGTAAATAAGCAATACCAAAGTTAACCTCCCGGGGTGAGAATGGAGCAGAGGCAGCCAGCTGACGAGGGCCAGCAGTGCGATGCCTCGGGGATCTTTTAAAAACGGTCATAACAAAACGATTTGCAGACCACTAGCCACAGTTGTGTGAGGTAACCATACCTGCCTAAAAGTAGGGCTGGCCTGCAGTGAGGTGGGTGAGGCCCCACTGGGGGGGGTGTGTGTTCAAGGACAGGCTGGACGTGCACATGGCCGGCACGTCGTGAGCGGAGCCGGCTGGAGCCGGGGGTCAGACTAGATGGCCCGGGAGGCCCCTTCTGACTCGCCCTGTTTCTATGTTTCTACAATGGCGTAGAATGGACTCCCCAAAAGAACTCCCCAAACCTATATGCAAGAAGGGGGTCCTGTCAGGCTTGGGGGGGGGGTCAAAACCCCTCCAAAAGCCCAGTGGCCTTCCAGTGCTGGTAGACGGAAGGAAAAGGATTGGGGAGGGGAGGAAAAACCGAATGGACAGGGCTGCCAGGACCGAACACCGAACCGCGCTGCGCAACGCGGCAACATTTTCTTGCAGGCCTCACTTGTCTGTTTTGCTTCCCTCAATAGCTGGTGTTGCCCCCCCACCGCCTGGCATACGGAATACACAGGTAGACTGCCTCTGGGCATGGAGGCACCATGGTAAATTATCACGCCTAGTACCATTGGACAGACTGCCTCCTGCTCTTCCTCGCCCCCCCCCCACCATTCATAAATGACCTTCTCTTCAAAGGCTTATGGTTTATCAGTGCCTTGAGTTTTTCCCAGCCTGGTGCCTGGACAGTTCTGCTGCCACTGGGCAATGCATCTGTAATAATCGTTTGCTGTAGGTGGGTTTTTTCCCCATGCATATTTGTTCCTTATTGCAGTGTCTCTTACATTATATTTCCCGTTGATCTTGCAAGAGGCCTTACAAGGGCTTCTGCCCCAAAAGACAGCTTAGAAAAATGCTAACAAAATAAACAGGAAATAATACATTTAAGGACACTGTGTATTTTGGACAGCGGTTGTTATGCGTGCAATCCTGACAGGACTCATCTTGCCTCTTGGCTCCTCTGAAAGTGGAAGTGCACAAGCCCACAAGTTGTGTAATCGTGTGCTTACTGCAGGATTTATTTTTGTCTAAACCCGCGTAGAATTGTGCCCTAGGAAACACAGAAGTGGCTGACATCCCTGCCTGCAGCCAAGGGGTTTGGAAGAATCACAAACCCTGCTCGCTTGAAGGCGACGGTGCTGCTTCTCTGGGGAAGGAAAAGGGAGGTCGATTGCGCGCCGGCAGGTGGATTTGGGGAGGGATGAAAGGCAGCTGGAGAGCGAGTGATGCTTCTGGGTCGGGGGACGCGGGAGCACACCTGCTTTCCGGAGTCGAAATGTGCCTCTTTCTGCCGCGGTGCAGCACCCGTCACCTGGATGCGCGCGGCTGAGCTCCCGCGTGTTGGAGCCCAGTGGCAGTGTGGGGAAGGGGGGAGCCACTGGTGGGCCGCCAGTCCCCCAAGTTGGCACCTCTCGGAGCGGCCTCTTCCAGGGGAGAGGTCAGAGGGCATGTGTGTGGGGAGGGGGGAGGCCGCGGGGGCAGTTTTTGGGCGGTCTGGGAGTAAAGTAGCTCTTGGCAGGGGATGGGGACCCAGCGGGGTGCAGAGCAGTAGCCTCTCTGAAGCTTTTCCAAGTCCCCCACTCAGAAGCCAAGGGGCATTAATTGGCCTTGTTTTCCGTGGCCCTAAACCAATTCTGGCTTGCCTCGTCTCCACTCTGGAGCCTCTTTGGCAGCCACACTTGGCTCTGGGCACAAAAGGAGGGTGGGTACGTGGGTGGGCGGGAAGGGGGCTTGTCCCAGGAATGGCAGGCTGTAGCCGAGACAGGGAGGGCCACCGCCGCCTCCCTGCATGTTGTTCTGGGAAGCTTCCTATTTGTGGGGCTTTTCAAAAAACAGCATTGCTAGTGCTCAGCGCCTCTGTCCTGGTCTTCCTCTCCTTAAATCAGGCGGATTTAATCTAGCCCCCGCAGGAACAGGGGGAGATCAGGGCCTTATCTGGGGACAGGAGAACCCGGCAACCTCCAGGGGCACAGGGCCTGTTGCTCAAGAGGAGAGGGTGCATAGAAGCCCCCTAAGGGGTCTTCCTTGCAAAACGAAGAAAAGGCAAGATATGCATAAATGAAAAATACATAACCACAGGCCGTTAGTTTGTGGCGAGGGCAAAATACACCACCTTGGACAAGATGCCCATGTAGGGACTGGCTCAGCCTATCACAGCAGGGCCTCTACTGGATTTTATAAATTTCCCTGATCCCGGTGACTCTTTTCGACGGTTTCTTTCCTTTTCCAATCCACGCTGCCTCTCCAGCCTGGCTCCCAGGTCTGAAAAACTGCTTGTGATCTCATGCCCAAGGTCCATTTGGGATTCTTCATCTCTCCCTCCCCGTTTCCATTCTAACCTTACAACAGCCCCATGGAGGAGGCCAAGTGGGGAATCGCTGGCTAGCCCAGAGGCGCCCACCGTGCTTCCGGGCCACACGGGACCGGAAGCGTCCCAGGTCCTTGACGCCCAGCCCCTCTGGCCTTCCCAAAGCCTCCTTCCGCTTCTTCCTTCACAGGCCTGGCCCGCCCATCAGAGCTGGCGTTCGTCCTGGAGCCCAGCGACGTGATCGCCGTCCGTGACCGCCCGCTGCTTCTGCACTGCCAGGTGGAGGGCGAGGCGCCGCTCACCATCACCTGGTACCGGAACGGAGCCCCCCTCTCCAACGACAGCCACGCGGCCGTCTTGGCCAACGGCTCCCTGCGCCTGGACAGCGTCCACCGGAGGCCGCGAGGGGGAGGCTCCGCCGACGCAGCTGCCAACGCCAGCGACTCGAGCGCCGGGGAGTACAGCTGCGCTGCCCAGAACCGCTATGGCCTCCTGGTCAGCCGCAGGGCCCGAGTGCAGATAGCCAGTGAGTTTCGCCCTGAGTACGCAGCGCGTTTCTAGAAGGGCACTTGGACAGTAAAGGCGGCTGTGGTGTCCCGGCCACCACAGCCTTCTAAGCCCCTGTCTGTGGCTTCCTTTATGGATTTGGTCCAGTCATCCGTCCATGGATGGCTTGGAATCCTTAGAACGATCTAAAATATGATAAGCAGAAATGAGGAGCAGAATCAAAAGCACAGAATGGGGAGAATAGAAAATGTCCTAACTCAAATCATCCCCTTTTGGAAGGCTTCTGCTGCCTGCTTCAAAGGCATCAGAATTGGGGCTGATGGTAAATTTGGGGGAGTGACTGTGGTGCTGCTGCAGAGAAGGCCCTGCTTGAGTTCCCATCTTCCAAATTGTTTTCAATTGTAGGGCAAAAGGCGGGCATCTCTGGCAATAATAAAAATTTGGGGGCAGGTTCATGTGGAGAACCTAATACCCTAATCCTAAGAGTTTAGAGCTTTATCAGTAAGAACCAGTCTTGAACCGAGTCCAGAAACAAGCCAAGAACCAGGGCAAATGCTGTAAATCCACATAGCAGGGGGCATTCTGGCAACTTGGTTTGCTAAGATAATTTCTGGACCTTCTTTAATGGGTGTCCCCTGTAGAGTCGTACAGGGTATATCCGCTTCCAGGCTTCACAGAACTGTCTACTAGCACCAAGGCTGAACAGGACTGTGCAATGAAGAGTTCTGTGAAAGCGGAAAGCGGACATGCTTCTTCCCTAGCAGAAGCTTAGCAGACTGCCTTCTTCCTCCCTCCTGCTCACACTTGCGGCGTGTGCACAGAGGCACAGGTACCAATGCTAATAGTGAGAACGCTCTCTGAGGGTCCAAATCTATTTGCAGCGTTGTCCAAATTCCACATGCACCCAGAGTCTATGGCGGTCGAAGAAGGAGGTGTCGCCCGTTTCCAGTGCTTCATCCAGGGAGTCCCTGAAGCCTCCATAACGTGGGAGCGGAACCGCACGGCCCTGCAGACCGACGACTACCGGTGAGTGTGGGGGGCACACCGAGGTGGGAGGAGGTGGCATGTTTGCTTACATGGATGTAAAGTTTCAGCCGTGCTCTTCAGCCAGAAATGCTCCCAGGGGGATCAGAAATAAAAGGCAGCCCGGAAGACAGGACACAAAAGGAAATAAGTTGGGAAAGAGGGAAAAGCCAAGCTTAGGAATGAGTTTCTTCATTGCAGAGTTGAGCAAGCCGTGGAATTGCTTTCCCCCCAAAATATTGCATTTTAAAAAATATTTCATTTGTATTTATACATGGGACTAATTGAGACAAGTGTGGGGACATAGATGTGTTTAAAAGGAGACTAGGACTGATTCATGGAGAAGCAGAGAATTTTATCTGTTATAGATGTGAGATTATGTATAATAGCCGATATTTATTTCGAACCTTCCTGGTGAGGCATCCTCTTTATTTGAATACTACATTTGAATACTGCCTGACAGCCCATTGGGCTCCCTGGGCAGTTTACAAGTTTTAACACATATACCAGTATAGGAATCCTAACTAGGCAAACACGAACAATGAAACCAGTATAAAAACCTGCAGCGATTAACGCAAAATTAATACAAAACATAGCAGTGGATAGAATAAAAAAAGAGCTTTTCAACTGAAATGTCTGGGGGAAAATTGTTTTCATCTTTTGCACCTCATGCAACACAGTTAATACGAACATGTCCAAAAAAACCAGAGAGAAGCAAAACTAATGAGCCGCGGTTCCAGACGTCATCACCTGGCTCTGGTACCCCATTCTAAGCATGCCCACGGCGCCTAAGTGGGGAGTTCCACGAATGCTGGGCTACTGGGGTGATGCTCGGGCGCCTTCGATGCATGCAGACACGGAGAGCTCTGTGCGCCCGCGGTTGCACACGGACCAGAGGTTCACTACCGCTGGCCTGACCCTACCCTGGGGCACTCCCATAACCCGAAAACACGGGAAAATACCTTTGAAAAAGGGTGCCTTGAGTCGATTTTTCTGCACAGCTCATCATCTCTGCCCACATTAATCACACTCCAACCATCAAAACCATGCCAGGACACCTAGTTTTCCTAACCCTAACCCTAACCCTAACCCTCCCCTGGTGCACACCCCTAACCCAAATATAGGGCTCAAGTTCCACTGAAAGTAAGGCGATTTTGAAAAAGCCTTCCTTGAGTAGCTTTTTCCGCACTGCTCATCATCTCTGCCCATCCTAAACACATTCCAACCATC